ATAGATAGATAGATAGATAGATAGATAGATAGATAGATAGATAGATACACACACACACACACACACACACATTTCCTGCCAAAAAAGGCACCAGGTCTTATTTTCGGGGGATGCCATCCACTGACGAACCTCCCTTGCGCACATCGTCCCTGGCCTCCTTTTTGCTGTTAGAGGCCCTCGGGAACTTCTACCTCTGCAGCTCGCAAGGCTTTCCTGAAGGCCTCCACAGCCGATAACAGCTCTGGATCGATCCGGGGCTTTGTTATCAGCTCCAGAGGCCTTCAGGAAAGCCTTCACAGCCTTGCCGGCTGCAGAAGAAATGGGCCGTCAAAGCAGGTGTTGGGATGTGCGAGCCCTGGCTATAACTGTCCAAAGGTAAGGAGTAGGGCAGCTCCACCCTTCAATCCCCACCCTAGCTTAATTTTTACCCGTCCACTCGAATGGACGGGATATTAATTAGGGCTTATTTGGGGTGTAGGGCTTATATTGGGCGCACATATAAAAATCACGCTAGGACTTACTTTCAAGGTAGGTCGTATTTCCGGGGAAGCAGGGTATCCATCAGCCCTCCCCCCTTACTCATTTCACATTTAAAAGATGCAGGTCATCCGGTCACAGCCTCCGTTTCGACTTCTTGATATCCCTCATGAAACTAAAAGTTCAGTTGCACTTCCCCCCAGAACGTTGTGTAGTTGGCCGTTGTCTGCTTTTTAATTTTTTTAATTTTTTAAAAAAACTTTTGGACATATAATTGCCAAGTCAAAAAATATATATATATATATCGTCCACCTCTGGAGGTTTGCAGTATCCTGTATCCACAGAAGATAACATCTGCGTCTGTGTTTTTGTTTCCGTTACAGAAAGAAAAAACAAAAGATTTCCGGACACACGTGACCAAATACCTGGAGACGTTGCTCCAGTCACAGCAGCAGGTGAGAGAGAGCGGCCCTGTGCACCCCCTTAGCATGTGGTGTCATATCCTGAATTTATTTATACGCTTGGCTTATAAATAAGTTACCGCATCCCCTACACTGATGCCTTCGGTCCCCTGCAATTGATGCACACTTAGATGGACGTTAGATCTGCTCTAGTCATCCCGATAAGGTGGAGTAATATGAGATCTTAGCAAATCAGCCTCATACCTTGGAGGCTCATATAGTTAGGGGTTTTCTTTTCATGTGAGTAGGCCTTTATTTTATTTTTTTTTTTTATTTTAAGCACTTAGAAATAGCCGTTAGACCTATATACCGCTTCACAGTGCTTTACAGCCCGCTCTAAGTGGTTTATAGAGTCAGTCTTTTGCCCCCACAACAATTTGGGTCCTCATTTTACCCACCTTGGAAGGATGGAAGGCTGAGTCAACCTTGAGCCAGTGAGAATTGAACTCATAGCAGTTGGCAGAATTAGCCTGCAATATTGCATTCTAACCACTGGAAGGGAAGGGAAGGGAAGGGAAGGGAAGGGAAGGGAAGGGAAGGGAAGAAGGAAAGGAAAGGAAAAGAAAGGAAAGGAAAGGAAAAGAAAGAAGGAAAGGAAAGGAAAGGAAAGGAAAGGAAAGGAAAGGAAAGGAAAGGAGGGAAGGGAAGGGAAGGGAAGGGAAGGAGATAGCAACAGCACTTAGACTTATATACCACTTCACAGTGCTTCCCAGCCCTCTCTAAGCAGTTTACGGAGTCAGCCTCTTGCCCTCAACCATCTGGGTCCTCATTTCACTGACCTTGGAAGGATGGAAGGCTGAGTCAACCTTGAGCTGGTCAAGATCAAACTCCTGGCTGTGGGCAGAACTAGCCTGCAATGACTGGGGATGACCGGCCCAAAAGTCACCCAGCTGTGCCTGGTGATCGGCCCAAAGGTCCTCCAGCCGGCTTTCGTGGCTATGGTGGGACTAGAACGGATTGGCCCAAAGGTGCCCAGCCAGCTTTCATGCCTGGGGTTGGACTAGAACTCACCATCTCCTGTTTCCAGCCCGGTGCCTTCACCACTTCAACGGATTACCAGGAGGTCCGTGATCGATGAGGGGAGTGGGATCCTAGGAATCTTTCTGATGTTTTCCTCCTTTTCCCCTCCACAGCTGGTGAAATACTGGGAAGCCTTCCTCCCGGAAGCGAAGGCCATCTCCTAAGCAGGCTGGGGTCAGCCTTCCTCCTGAACTGGACTTGCCTTCATCACTTAATACCTCTTGGCCTTGGATCCCGCAGAGCTCTGATCCTCCTTCGACCAAGGAGCTGTTTCCCCAGCTAGTAACTCTTCTAACTGTATATTATTATTATTATTATTATTTTTCCATTTAGATTCATATATAAATATATACACACACACGCACACACACACACACACACATATATATTTTCCTATTGAAAAGAGACTCGCTTCCTGCTTTGCAACCCCAGGAGTAGGGGAGCGCAGGCAGGGCAGGGGCACCACGGTTTTCGGACTTCGATGTTGAAGCCACGCAGGACTTTCGGTGGCGCCACCCACGGCAAATGAAATAAAACTTAAAATCAGGGCAAGCCAGGCTCACGCGTGTCTCTCTGTGTGTGTCTCTCTGTGTGCGTGTGTGTGTATGTGGTGGGAACTCGGTTGCCGTTTCAGAGAGTCCTGACTTACAAAGCGTTCGTTCGGTTACAACAGCACTGGAAAAAAAAAAAGCGACTCGGGACTGTTTACCACGCTTAATGACCCAGTGGTGGGATTCAAAAGGTTTTTTTTACTCCTGGTTCTGTGGGCATGGCTAGGTGGGCGTGGCCATGTGACTGGGTGGGTGTGGCTTTATTTTCAACCCACCCACCCCATTTTGGGGGGCCTTTTGGGCCTCAGAGAAGCCTCCTGGGGGTGTGTGGTGGATGTAAGTTGTAAAATGATCTGGGAAAATGCTGCCTTGTCTTCTGTTACACCCTTCTTATTTGCGGCGGGTGGCTACGGCTGCTCCTTCTAACACCGTCCTATAATACCTTGGTAAGACCACACCTAGAGTACTGCATCCAATTTTGGTCTTCGCACTATAAGAAAGAGGTCGAGACTCTAGAAAGAGTGCAGAGAAGAGCAGCCAAGACGATTAGGGCAGTGGCCCCCAACCTTTTTTGTGCCATGGCCCGGTACCGGCATCACAAAATGATCCACGGCCCGGTACCGGCATCAGCACGCATGACAAGGCAAGGCGAGCCGAGCGACCGGCCAGCCAGCCGTCCCCGGCTTCTCCCTGCCATCTTCAACTCCTCCTTTGTACCTTTGTCGATGGGCTTCGCTTCGGGACGGTCGCTCGGCTCGCCTTGCCTTGGGTGCTGAAAGAATCCTCGCGCCTTAGTTTCATTCGAAGCCGCCCCCCCTTCGATGAAACTAAGGCGCGAGGATTCTTTCAGCACCCAAACGCCGCTTTCCAACTGGAAAAGCTCACCTGGAAGCACCTTCTCGTCAAACAAGATGCCGGCGCCCCTCAAACCAGCGGCCCGGTAGAAAATGTTCCACGGCCCGGTACCGGTCCGCAGCCCAGTGGTTGGGGACCCCTGGATTAGAGGACCGAGGCTGAAACATACAATGAATGGTTGCAGGAGCTAGTCTAGGGAAGAGAAGGACCAGGGGAGACAGGATAGCAGTCTTCCAATATTTGAAGGGAGAGGGAGAGAAAGAGAAGGAAAAAGAGGAAGGGAGGAAGGAAGGAGAGAAAGAAAAAAGGGAGAGAAGGTGAAAGAAAAAAGGAGAGAAGGAGAGAAAGAAAAAGGAAGGGAGAGAAAGAACAAAAGAGGGAGAGAAAGGAAGGGCGAGAGCAGGAAAGAGTGACTGGAGGCTAAAACATACGATGAACAGTTGCAGGAACTGGGCCTGGCTAGTCTAGTAAAGAGAAGGACCAGGGGAGACAGGATAGCGGCCTTCCAATATTTGAGGGGCTGCCACAGAGAGGAGGAGGAAGGGGTCAAGCTATTTTCTAAAGCACCTGTAGGCCAGACAAGGAATAATGGATGGAAACTGAACAAGGAGAGATTCAACCTGGAAATAAGGAGAAACTTTCTGACAGAATAATCAACCCATGGAACAAAAGTTGTCGGAGCTTCATCCCTGGAGACTTTCAAGAAGAGATTGGACTACCACCTGTCAGAAATGGTGTAGGGTCTCCTGCTTGGGCGGGGGGTTGGACTAGATGACCTACAAGGTCCCTTCCAACTCTGGTATCCTATATTCAAATGGAACAGCTTTGCCTTCAGAAGTTGTGGGAGCTTCATCCCTGGAGGCTTTCAAGAAGAGATTGGACTACCACCTGTCAGAAATGGTGTAGGGTCTCCTTCTTGGGCAGGGGGTTGGACTAGATGATCTACAAGGTCCCTTCCAACTCTGGTATCCTATATTCAAATGGAACAGCTTTGCCTTCAGAAGTTGTGGGAGCTTCATCCCTGGAGGCTTTCAAGAAGAGATTGGACTACCACCTGTCAGAAATGGTGTAGGGTCTCCTCCTTGGGCAGGGGGTTGGACTAGATGATCTACAAGGTCCCTTCCAACTCTGGTATCCTATATTCAAATGGAACAGCTTTGCCTTCAGAAGTTGTGGGAGCTTCATCCCTGGAGGCTTTCAAGAAGAGATTGGACTGCCACCTCTCAGAAATGGTGTAGGGTCTCCTGCTTGGGTGGGGGTGGGGGTTGGACTAGATGACCTACAAGGTCCCTTCCACCTCTTGTTTCTCTAAAATCTCCGTGGCCTTCCCGGCGGGGCAGAGCCGAGGCCGCACTGGGCGGAGCGAGGCGGGTCAGCCGCGGCGGGGCTAAGCGGAGCAAAGGGAGCCGGGCGAGGCGGCCCCGCCAGAGATGCTGGAGGTGGCGGTGAGCGCGGTGAGGCTGCGGGCGGCTTCGCCCCGGCGGCGGCAGCAGGAGGAGCAGCGGAGCCCCGGCAAGGCTCACACGGTGCGTCCCAGACGGGCGGCTGCGGGTTGCGGGGAAAGGAAGGCAAGGTTGGCCGAGGCCGCTGCACTTTCTCCGGGGCGCTCTCGGGCTGGCGGCGGCGGCGTCACCGGCCGTGCCTGGGAAAGGCGAGCTCGGACGTCGTGGGAAAAGGGGGCTCCGTTGTCCCGTGTTGGGCTGGGCCGGAGTTCAACAGGGAGAGCCAAAGAGAGAGAGAAAGCAACAGAGGCGGCCGCCTTGGAAGCCTTCCCTTCCCTTGCCGGCCTGGGTGAGGGGAGAGAGAGAGAAGGGAAAGAAATGCGGGGATTGCCTAACGTCTGAACGGTGCCTGGGAGGCCCCAAATTCTACTCCCGTGTAACCCAACCTCCCCCCCCAAAGCAGCCCTTTTTAAAGGCAAATGTATGTTTTAGGAATGAGGGGTGTTTTTTTTTTTTTTTTGCAAACTGGGTTTTTCACCGGCCTGACTTAATTCCTGGTGAACAGCCTTTCTGGGGTGTGTGAAAAGCCTGCCATTATTGCCCTGGGTGTGAAGAAGGTGCCATGCAATGCCCAGAGATGATCCCAGGTGTGGGGGATTGGGGCCCCTCCTGCTTAAACCAGGGTGAAAAGACAGGGGAGGGGATGGGGGGAACTTTTTGAGGGGGGGCTGGGGAGGAAAGGTTTGGAGGAAGGCAAACTTCTTCCTGGCACACGGACACTGGCGCCCTGTTTGTGCCATTCAGCCGGGGATGGGCCTCTCCTTTGGAATCAATAAGCGGCCATTCAGGCCTGCTTTTTTATTTTTATTTATTTATTTTTGCTTTTTCTGGAAAGGCTGGCTAGGAAAGCACCTGCTCCAGGGGAGAACAGCTGCTCCTTTGTGCCACTGGCAGGGAGAATTGGTCTGAAATGCCTCTGGAAACCCAAGAATCCAACCCACATGCACGCGCACACACACACACACACACCCCACTCCCTGGGCTGTGTGAGTCAGCTTCCTGCCTCCGGTCCAGCAAAGGATTAAAGCAGACCCTCCGTGGCCTGGAGACATTTGAATGACTCCTTGTTTCGTGCTTGAATTCAGGATATTGAGTGAACGCAAAAACTTTCTCGGCCAGGTTTGGTTCCTTTTTAAAAAGTTCCTTTTTTAAGCGAGAGGAGAGGCCAGTCTTAAGCTCTGCAGGAACCTGTTTTAATTTTTCTCTAAGGCAAACTTGTTGCATTGGAGCAATTCGGTTAAACAGCACCACATCTAGGAAGGAGAAGATAAGTTTTACTACTTTACGGTCATTGCACCTCGTACAACGAAATTAAATGCCGTATTCGGTGTACATTATTACTATTAAAATAAAACACACACACACCTACCTCCTTCACGTTCTGTACGATTGAATTGAAAGCCCCGGATATTGCATTAATATTGCACTATACCAAGGGTCCCCAACCGTGGCAACTTTAAGACTTGTGGACTTCCAACTCCCAGAATTCCTCCTCCAGTCATGTTAGCTCAGGAATTCTGGGAGTTGAAGTCCACAAGTCTTAAATTTGCCAAATTTGACCCTTGGATTAGACAGACAGACAGATATAGACAGATTAGACAGATTAGATAGATAGATAGATAGATAGATGGATAGATGGATGGATGGATGGATGGATGGATGGATGGATGGATGGATGGATGGATGGGCGGGCGGGCGGGCAGGCAGGCAGGCAGGCAGGCAGGCAGGCAGGCAGATAATGGAGATGGAGACAGATACTGTAGATCAGGGGTCTTCCAACTTGACAGCTTTAAGACTTTTGGACTTCAACTCCCAGAATTCCTCCTCCAGTCATGTTAGCTCAGGAATTCTGGGAGTTGAAGTCCAAAAGTCTTAAAGTTGCCAAATTTGAAGACCCTTGGATTAGACAGAGACAGATAGATATAGACAGATTAGATAGATGATTGATAGATAGATAGATAGATAGATAGATAGATAGATAGATAGATAGATAATGGAGATGGAGATAGATACTGTAGACCAGGGGTCTTCAAACTTGACAGCTTTAAGGCTTGTAGACTTCAACTCCCAGAACTCCTCCGCCAGCCATGTTAGCTCAGGAATTCTGGGAGTTGAAGTCCACAAGCCTTACAGTTGCTATGTTTGGGCGACCTCTATAGGGCGCCCTATACAGTAGAATTCAGTAGAGTTACTGCTCTGGGATAGGAGCTGTGAGTGGATCTTTTAAGCAGCCAGAAACACTGCAGTAGTTTTTCAAGCGTCCTGACAGAAGGGTGCTTTTCCCGCTAGCCCCTAACATCCCTGGCTTGAAGGCACTGGCTATCATTTTGTCATGTTGGCTTCCCCAAATGAATGTTGGCGCCTTTTAAAAAGGAGGGTTCTGGAACCTGGTAGGAGAAATTCAACCGAGTTTACAGGTCAAGGGAGAGGGGCTTGCCCTCCTAGTTTTATGGATATGGAAGTGGACTTTTGGAAAGTTGGTTGGATGCCTTGTCTTGTTTTCCATGGGGTCAACTAGACGCCTCCGGAAAATTCCATAAATTAAGAAGGCAAGCCATTGGGGAACCTAGACTGAAAAAACAGTATGTTTTGGATACAGAGGGCCCCTTTGGGATTGTGGTTAAAGGCATCAGGCTCAAAACCAG